TTTCTGCCCTGGAGACTATAGGTTTTCTAATGATCTACACCCTCATACACTCACCCTCTTTAAAAACACACTTGCTACTGCTGAATTTACTCACTCAAACTTGCTAGATTTGCAAAAAAATAATCCTCACTTTCTATTCAACACCATAGCTAATCTTACTGATAAAAGATTAGATGCACTAATAAATATACCTTCATATATTAGTTACTGTATAATGACTTTATGGACTTCAATTTTTAATTGAAAAATTACAAGAACTACAAAACAAACAGTAACAAGTACTACACCCAGCATGAGAAACGCCATCTTGTCCACAATGCATGCTAGAAAGAATTAATTGGATTAACTGACAAAACCAAAGTGACAATATGTATCTTATTACATACTACATATAATACATACAGTGAAGTCCATAAGTATTTGGACAGTGACACGATTTTTGCTGTTTTGGTTCTATCGTCCAGCACATTGGATTTGAAATAAAACATTGTTTTTTTTTTAAATAAAACAATGACTATGAGGTTCAAGTGTAGAATTTCCGCTTTAATTCGAGGGTATTTACGTGTATATTGGGTGAACCATATAGGAATCACAGCCCTTTTTATACATAGTCCTCCCATTTTAGGGGACCAAAAGTAATAACTGTGTTGTTCCAGGGGTATGAACACCACTTTTGGGTACAGAGCAGATGTTTCTACAGTGGCTGAAGCACCCCGACAGTCTGTTTGAGAAACCTTTTGCTATATTTCTAACTAGTTTCCACTCTCACACAAACTCTCTTCCATAAGTGGTACTACTACTTGCCCCCCTGATCAAGGCAACTAGGACACAAGGCATAAACTCATGGGTTTCTCAGCTCACTCCATTTGAGTTTGTCTACTCTCAATACTCTCCACTTCGATGGAGCCTGGAACAGGCCTTGATTTTTTAATGTGCTTGGTTTCACAAAAGTAAGGAATTTCATAGAGCGACTGTAAACTAATCAAAAACAGTTCAGTTGTTTATATTGACATTTGCCATTATATCGTTGGTGTATGCACTGTTCAAACCATTTTCCTATTTTAAAGATCATTTGTAAAACAGTGGTGTGAATAATTGCATTTAGAAGGCAGTCTACAAGAGTGGCAGTTATTTGTCAGTTGATGTACAGTGTGGATATCTGGGAATATCACTTCACAAAACTCTTTAACATGTATAGCTGTCAGGAAATGTAATTTTTTTGTCCATTGATGCAGCTCACATGCCAAATTAAAAACTATTTTGAACAATGCATACCTCAACAATTTACAGTAACAACAAATTTACAATATTAACAATTTATATATATTAATCTAAATATAGTGCCGACTCCACCAAAGTGAGCATTTGTATGAACTACAATGAAACGTACAGTAGGTAACTATAATGTCATTCAAAACTGCTGAAAACATATTTAATTGGGCCTGTTTTCAATGTTTTTATTTACTTTTATATACAATGCTTTTAAATCTACTATGTATCATATATTTTTATAAAATAAAATTATGTTTTCTAATTAGTCTTTGTACATAATTACTAATAATTCATTACTACATACTGTATGTAATTTAAAAAGATCATTCTGTTAGTGTCATACAATATTATGACATACTATATTCATTTGGAGTGGTAGCTTTGTGGTCACAACATCCTATCTCAACATTATCATTAGATTATATAGAAATTGTTTGCTGCTGTTATGCATACAGTATGCTTAGCACATGAAAGCATTAAAATACAGTATGAATAGTACAGAAAAGCACTAGTGGGTGAATAAATATTTAATTTTATTATCAAAATAAGATTTGTCTGACAACAACTCTCAGCTGCAGTACTTTATGGATTCACTGCACCACCTGGCAGTTTTAGAGAGTAGTGTTGTCCTGCATCATTTTATTATTTAAAAAAATTAAAAGGTGATGACCCAAGCATACATGACACCTCGCACATTGTAGATGACTGCATTCATACCACAAACGCAAGAGAGTTGTTATTATACTGTTAACTGATTAGTCAATCTTTAATTCACATTTATGAATCCAACTCACATGTTCAAAATCTTGATTATAACTCAAGATAAACTAACTGAAGTAAACATGAGAAGTCACTATGAAGTGCTGTAATAGACAATCTATCAAATTAACCACAATCAATTCTTCAAGAAGTGTTACTTATCATTAACATTATTTGCATGTTTCTCAGTAAAACAAATGTTTTAAGCACCTATCCTCTATTGTACATAAACAAAGAACCTCACCATCTTGATTAAGGCACATAAGGTGCAGGGACCACAAAGGGGCCTGTTCTCCAATGCGGGTGTTACCTCATGTATTACACAAATAGTCACTCTAGGTTTCCTTTGCTCTCCCAGCTGTTCTGTCTTCTTTCTTCTCTACTTTTAAACTTCATTACTTCCAACCACAGACGTTACAGCAAATCCCTCCTTTCTTCCTGCGGAACCTTGTCACTGTCTGTGCTTCTGGCTGTCCTATCTCTGCTGGCAAATATGGCTTTAGCTTTTATCTTTCCGGTCCCTGTTACTTCTGGCACCTGCACCTAGTCTGCATTATCAATACAGTACATATGTCCTGAAGAGGACTCAGACTACAATTTTCCGTTCTTCACTCCTGCTGCCCCAGCTGGTGTCCTGTTGGATTTAGTGTAGGTTTCTGATGATTTTTTAAACTTATTCTCATAGTTTTCACTGTTGAAGTTATCTGCGCCTATTGAATGTGTTTATGTGATTCCACTTATTCTGCACTGACAAACCTCTTTGATTAATTGTTCTGAGGGGTACAATGACCATGTCCATAGGCCCCAACTCCATTTTCATTTACAATCATAGTTAGATTTACCTGCATCTCTTGAATGCTATGCCTTTCCTTTGGACTTATACATAAGGGTGAACGGTAATAATGTAATACTTGATTAGTAAAGTAATCTTGCATTTAGGTTCTGCAATGGCCTGTGTGGGGGTCTGTTTGGTTTGGGGATTTCTGACTTTTCTGCCCATATCACCAAGCCTTAGATCTCAACCTGAATTGGTTAAAGACAAATACTCTCTCTTTAGTGTAGTCAGATCATATTGGGATTTGCCAGTGTTAAATGTGCCAGTCTTGTTAAATATTACTGGCAAACTGACATACTTAGTTCTTCAGTGGTGTTCCAACATTTGCATTAAAGAACCATGAAAGAAATAATGATAATTTTTCTAAAAATGATATACAAAAAGCTAAATGCATTTTGTTTTGAAGGACTGTGTCCTATAACAGGTGAAAAGACACCCCTTTCATAAATCCGTCACTGGTGTTATATTCTCCACTGATTTACAGTAAGTTAAGATCAAAGCGAGTTTTGTGTTCTATTTCTGTTTTGTCAGATACTAATATAATAAAATATATTTATTTTGTATGCACATATATTAATTGTATTATATATATATATGCATCCAACTTACTGCAAAGTACATTAATTCCCAAGAACGTTTTTAGTTTTTTTCAAAGATACGCTCTGCAAACTTTTTTTTAAGAACCCGGATGCACTGCAGATTCACTACCATCCAGTTAAACCGTAATGGAACTGAAGACTGAAAGAGAAAAAGGAAAAATCACACCCATTTCAGCTTTCATGCACCTGTATCTAATGTGTATTTGCTTTCCTTTCTGGCAGCATTTCTAATGACACCGAGCTCCAATATTTAGGCAGACACATTCTATTTCCCGAAGGTCCGCATGAGTAAGCCTGTCATGCATGCCATTTATTTTTAATGTAGCAGTAAGCTTTAAAATTTAAATAAATGTTACGGTGCTATGTTTACAACAGAATACATTAGAGCTATGACTGAGCACATTTCAGCACACTGTTCAGCCCAGTACGATGCAGCCCACTATACAGAATATACGTAACAATCAATAAAAGTGCTGCAACACGAACATCCAATTACTGAATAGTTTATTTACAGAAAGAAGATCAATGTCTATTTTGATGTGAAGGTCAAACTAGAATTTGCAGAGCCCCTCTGTAGGATATCTATCCTTGAATTTCAATTCAAGGATTTAATTGAATGTCCTTCATTCTATCACAGTGGAATAGATTGGATCTGATTGGAAACATATGGTGAGAAACAAGTTTAAATTGCAAAAACAAACAACCATTTAAGGGTATTCAGTGCAGACTAAAAATGAGTGGCTCCATTCCAGAAAATCCAGGAAAGAGAATCCAACTAGATTTGTAGGAAAGATTCATATTTTTGTTTTCCTGTTCTTATGTTTTAATAGATTAGGACTTCCTGCTGCCTGCTTAGATTCTTGAAACATTTTATCCACCTACTTTTCTGCAGTTTTTTATTTACCCTTTTCAGATATGGAAAGAATGTAACAAACTGTTATACACATAGGGGTCCCAAAAATGTCTGTATATTCTACCCAACAAGTGCTGATGTTAGGTAATTTTAATTTCTTTTCACTTTTTAATTTCATTTTACTGGCAAACTGACATACTTAGTACCTCAATAGTGTTTCAACATTTGCAATAAAGAATCCTGAAGAATGAAAGAAATAATGAAAATATATCTAAAGATGATATACAAAAAGCTTAATGCATTTTGTTTTGAAGGACTGTGTTCTATAACAAGAGAAAAAATTCCTCACTTAATTTCATTTCACAATATAACTTTGTAATAAATATACACACTATACATTATATATAACAAATGTTGTAATATAATTTAACAAAAGTATGATGATATAAACACATATCATCCACCTTAGGTCAGCAGAGGTGAATAAACAGGACATGCAGTAAGTGACTGAATTTCAAAAAGATTACATCTGATTTATTTAGGCCAGAAACAAAAACAAAAAAAAATAATATTCAGGGTTATACATTCAAAATGTAACTGTAAAGCAGTATGAAATACAAAGGTTGTCTTAAATCAGTTTTAAATATATAATCCTATACATTCACTTAATGAATGACCTTACCTGGAGACAAGCCACTCCAATTCCCACTGCGCCTATAATAAGGAGATGATCTGCAAGAAACTGTTCCAACTTGGTGATACAGCCTCCCTGAAAAAACAAAACAAAAACTGTCCTTCTTACTGGGCCAAAGACTTTTTGGGGGTTTATTCAATAGATTTCACATTTTTACAAATGCTCATTTAATTTTCATTATGTAAACGATATTTTGCATACAGTAGGTACAGATTATCTTAAATCAAAAGTGGCCGAAAATACCAACATACTGTATGTGTCAATGTATTCAGTTTCAAAACATAAGCTACAGCAAAATCTGGCAGCTGCTGTTGATCAATATAGCCAAACACAACTAATACATTCTTAAACAGCAATATCAGCATCACACACAATGGCAAAAACAGGAGACTTACTGATCAGGTGTCTAGAGAGCACAACTGTTTATCTAAGCCCAGATTTGAACAACTTGGCTTGGATAGAGGGTACAAAAACTGTGTTCTCTGTCAGATAGGACCATTATGCATGATACATAACGCTACTCCTCAAAGTGTGAGTTCGTGTTAAGGTAACTGGGACTCTCAGCGGTTTAACCACAAATTAAAATGGTTCTTATACAGTAGCTGAAAGTGAAGTATGAGGGAGATGAAAATATAGAGGGAATCTCAAGAAACAACAGTGCAGCATAAGAAAACACCAAAACAAATTTTATAATAATTTAAAAAAGAATACAGGGCTATACATTTTATCAATGACAAAGTGTTTCTTGAATTTTATAAAGGAGTGTTTATGTGACCTAAGACCAGAGAACACTGTTGTCGACTAAAAAATACACCATAGTTAGTACTGCTTTTTGTCAGCCTTGCTATTGACAATTTTCCCCTAAAGAAATGTCTATGAATAGCAACTACTATCATGAAGTACTGGAGCTTAGCGTCAAAAGAAATACTGCTAAATAACAAACATGATCTTATTATGTTGTATATCACATTGTGACCATTAGAAATTGTGACAAAAACAGATAATTGTAAGAGATCAGAAAATAATGCCATTTTCCCCTTCTTTGCACTAACGCATAGAAGTTATAGAGTCAGAAACATGTTTTCTTAAATTACTTTAGATCACTAAGCTCTCACTTGTTTAAACTGCTTTTCTGTATACTTGTTCAAACAGGGGCGTGAAGAAGTTCACAGTAAACATGACATTTCTTAAAGCCAAATGCTAACCATGTGTAAAAAAATTACATTTGCATAATACACATATGTAGAAAGCTGCAGGAACCTTAGAATAATTAAAATTATGAGATTAAGAAATAAAGTTAGCATAAAGGCAGTTCAGGGGAATACTTCAAAGAAAATATGCTTTTCCAAAGAGAAGTAATTCAATTAAAATAAATGGCATGAAGCTAGACATTGCAAACATAGGACAGGTAGTTAATTGATTCAGGGATCGCATCTAGGAATTTCTCTAAAGGAACCAGGGTCTCAGTTTTATGTAGACATCTAATGATAAGAAAGCTCACTACAAAATCTGATGGACAAGAATACTGCAGGATGAAGGCGTTCAGGATCAATCATTCCACCTCCATTCCAAAAGCACTTCTAATGGAAATTAAGCAACTGTAATTCAGCCACACATAGTCAAGTGTCCAATACATCACAGCCAAAGGGATCAGGTCAGGGAATGCTTCAACACAGAAAAATTACGAGGGATAGTTATCTGCTGCAAGAGAGAAGGGAGAAGATTTTCCATTAGTTCCTTTAGGAGGCAAACTCAGGAGAACTAAGAGAAGCCCACAGAGCTAGAGGCAAATAGAAGCAATCAAGACAATCAAGTGTGCAGTACGTGGATTGAGTTTGTGGGTTGTTTTATTTTGAGGCTGGTAAGCAGCTTAGCTGCCCCACAGTTAATAATATGGTACCAAAACAATTAAGTTACAGCTCAAAATGAGCAGGATTTATTTTCTGTTTTTTATTTTTGAGGCCTCACTGTCACAACAAGCTGTCACAACTTTTCCTTTCCTTGGGTATATGTCTGTACTTTGTGTTCCTCTGATCCTGAACTAGTTTTCCACCTTTCCCAACTGCAAGTATTACCTCAAAGAGACTATCGTGAGGGAGACACTTACTGTACCAATGTCAGCTGGAAAAACACAAGTCATTGACATGGAAAACAATTGAGCAATTTTTCACATTTAGGATCTGAAGAGGTAGACCAAATTTCCACATGTGAGTTGGATCACCTCTAGAGCGTGGATCTAATTTGACACAGTGTGACAGAAGTCTTTACTTTGATCATCTCATAGAACACATAAGTTAGGAACTCCTTAGCTGGGAAGCTTACAAGCTCTGTGGCTTGAAAGGAGCCTTACTGACCTGTATGTTGAGTACAAACCCAGAGCACTGGGGATCCTTTCCTTGCCCACACATTCCAGTTGACCCTGTACTGACGCTTGAAGCTGTGGGATCTTGCCAAGAATCCAGGATTTCTTCAGATCCAGATCTCTTTCTGCATTAGCTTAAAAATGTCTAGAGATTCAGCACTGGCTTTACAATGATCAAAACGAAACTACAACTCATCAGAACTTGCATTTACAGTAGGAGTGTTGTACATTCAAAGGAGGATACTTATTAGTGACTATCAATTGATCAGTTTATAAGGTGCATTAGACTTGGACCCTTCCTTGTGCCTGGGAAAGTATAAACATTTACCTTACCAGATCTGTACACAATGAGCGCTCTGGCATGGATCAGAAGGCAAGTGCAGTGAAATAAACAGCTGTTGCTAAGGCCCTCGTTAAAGATTTTGAAAGATGTTACTGCTTCATAACATAGAGGCCTGGGCTGGACTGCTTCTGTGTGGAGTTTACATGTTCTCCTAATGGTTGCATGGATTTTGCTAAGCACGCTCATATCTGAAAGACATGCACATTTAGGTTAATTCAAAATGGTCACTTTCTCGTAGGACTTTTGCTCTCAATGTTGCTAGTACTGATACCTGGACTGAGACCACCAGATGCGCTTGATGGCCAGAGGGCCTCCTCTGATCTGTGGTTTCTAATGTATTGAAAACATTGAAAACTTTGCAGACATCACAGTTTTAATGCTGGCAGTGTAATGTATGGAACAAATGTCAGTGGCCATCACAATGCACAGAAGAATTCAGACAGTTTCGAGGCCTGTATACCATGTGTTGCTATGGCAACACCAGTGTCTGTGTAATACATGGTAACTCGGTCCACTTTATTTTGGAATTGTGCTTCAAATGGTTACTTAATTGTTTAAATTATCATAATTTTAAAAGTATAACAATGAAGGAGATGGTTGTACACCATCCCATTTTTATAAGGCAGGTATCAGGGTTCAGTAAAATTGCGTAATATAACAAGGTCTGAGAAATCAAGATACTGTAAATGTAAAAACGTACTGTACAATAAACCTATTGTCGGTGTCATATTCCAACATTTACTATATGTGTCTGTTCTAATAAAACAAGCAAATATACATCTAGAAACAAATCATTAAGCCAAAAAATATGACAGATTTGTTTCATAACTGAAATGAGGTACAATCGATGAATGGATGCATTGATTTTTAATCTTTTATTCACCTTCTCAGATTATTTGCTAATTTGACACATTCTACTTTCAAAATATCAGATCTTATTTATCTCGAACCTGGGTTGCACCACTACTTATTTTCCCATAATTTATTTTATTAATCCTGTAAATCCACATCACACCATATCAAGTAATCATGAATTATTGGAAAGGAATGGAATTGTTTTAATCTTGGTTGCCATATGTAATTACATTACGGTACACATTCCGGAATAATCCATCCTGGCATTCAAGAGGAACAGCCTGATTAGCAGTTTACTTAAATAAAATTTTAAAAAGTAAGATTTCTACTAAAACTAAATATTATAAATTAATCCTTGCTCAACTTAAAGCACTAAACCCTGCCAAGAGAGTACTGAGTGCCTAGTAACTGCTTGACCAGCACTTATTAAGGAACTCTAAAGCAAAGGAATTATTATTAATGGTTCAAGTAAATGCATTAGATCAGTACAAAAGCCTTCATTAGACATTAATGAAGTCTTATTGACATAATGTCCATCGGAATAGGGGGTTTCATAACAACTGCTTTTTTGCACTAGCCTGTCCTTTCTTCTCTACAAAAAGAAAGACATTAAAACAAAAAAATTATATGTGTTCTATATGTTCATAGATTTCTATTTCAAGCCCGTTTTGAAATGTTCACACTTAGGTGAGATATTTCAAACAACTGTAATCTTGAATGGGATACGAAAGAGAGGATGAAAGAGAAGAACCTGAAAAGTAATATTTGAAGGAAGTGTCAAACGTGGCTCATGTGGCATGCTCTAAAAGTGAAATAATTAACCATATGGTAAGGGTCGTAGGCTCAGAACACAGTGGACAGTCTGTTTTGAGGTTACCAGTTTGTATCTAGGCCAAGCCATTTATTACAAGTTTTGATACCATGCTGCTTTTTGAGTTATTAGCACTGAGCAGAGTGGAGGTGGCTGGAATATTCTCCTTTCACACTGCTCCAGTGAGGAGGTGGCTGGATGTCTGGCCATTGCATTGCATTGTACCAATTCATTGCTCTATGCTATAACCCTGCCATTAAAGAACAAAATCGAAAAAATACATTTAAAACAGAAACAAAAAACTAGTTTGCTTGAATCTGCAACTCAACTGAATTTCTTCAGTATCAATACTACCTGTGAGGCTCCTGAACTGTTTACCAGTAAAAAAACAAAATTCAAAGCTACAGTAGATGGGACAAATGGCTTCCTCTCATTTGTAACTCTTATGTTCTAATCAACATACTACACATAAAGTCTCAGCTGCTCAAAACATCAAGTGTATAGCTTGATGCTGCATATCTTAAAGGATGTTGCACTGCTGTCTGCATTCAAGAAGAATTGGCCTAGTTAGCAATTTACTAAGTTGCCTACTAAATCTAATGTAAACCTTGTACAGCTAAAACCCTTCCAACAGCTTACTTAGTACCTCGTAACAACTTATTCAGCATTTATTATGAAACTATATTCCAGCACAATAGTAATTA